GACAGAGGTTGAACTTTCTCCAACCGTGCAGGAGACCCCAACTCAGCCTCCTAAGAAAGTTGTACCCCAACTTCTAGTATATCAAGAGGTAACAATTCCAACACCAGGTCAGGATGAAGCTCAGCATCCAATGTCATCCAGCGTCACAGTTCAACCTTTGGACCTGAGACTTACCATCACTCCAGAACCCACTACGGAGGTTGGACATTCTACAGCCCTGAAGAAGACTCTAGTTCCTCCAAAGCACCCTAAGGTGACACTTCCACATCCAGACCAGGTTCAGACTCAGCATTCACACCTGACTCAAGCCACAGTTCAACCTTTGGACCTGGGGCTTACCAGCACTCCAGAGCCCAGTACGGAGGTTGAACCTTCTACAGCCCTGACAACTACAGCTCCTCCTCCAGAACACCCTGAGGTGACACTTCTACCTTCAGACAAGGGTCAGGCTCAGCATTCACACCTGACTCAAGCCACAGTTCAATCTTTGGATCTGGGGTTTATCATCACTCTGGAACCCACTAAAGAGGTTGAACTTTCTACAGCCCTGACGACTACAGCTCCTCCTCCAGAACACCCTGAGGTGACACTTCCACCTTCAGACAAGGGTCAGGCTCAGCATTCACACCTGACTCAAGTCACAGTTCAACCTCTGGCCCTGGAGCTTACTATAACTACAGAACCTACTACAGAGGTTAAACCATCTCCAACCACAGAGGAGACCTCAACTCAGCCTCCAGACCCGGGGCTTGCTGTAACTCCCGAGCCCACTACAGAGACTGGACATTCTACAGCCCTGGAGACGACTACAGCTGCTCGTCCAGACCAGGTTCAGACTCTGCATCGAAAACTGACTGAAGTCAGAGATCCACATACTGAACTAGAACCTACTCAGGACTCACTGGTGCAGCCTGAAAGTCACGCCCAAAATAAGGCTTTAACTGTACCAGAGGAACAGAAGGCCTCCACAAGCACCAACATATGTGAACTCTGTACCTGCGGAGATAAGACGCTGTCGTGTATTGATCTCAGCCCAAAGCAGAGGCTCCGCCAAGTGCCTGTGCCAGAGCCCAACACCTACAATGGCACCTTCACCATCTTGTAAGGATCACCTTTCCCCAATTGTCCTCTGTGTCCTGCTTGACATAGCAGCCTTTTCCTGGAGGCCTTCCTGGGCTTTCTTTGTCTCCCCAAGCCATCCTGACAACTGACTTTCTGCTTTCACCTTTGCTTGTCAATTCTCCTTTCTCCTCATTCTCCTTCATTCTCCTTTAATGTTAGACCCCTTCTCCTCTCTTTTACTTTTACTCCAGTCTTTTGCTCCTACTCGTTTTCTTATCCATTTTTATTTAGCCCCATCACATCATTGCTTAACCGCTGCTCTGCTCCCATTTTTGCTTCACCCTCTTTACAGCAACCTTTCCCCCTCCCGATCTCAGTGATGAGGCTCTAAGTGGTTAAGAGTTGATTCCGGAGCCAGGCTTCCTGGGGTTGAACCCAGGTCTATTTTTCGCTTGGTGACCCAGAGCAAGTTATTCCGCTCTGTGACTCAGTTTCCTCACATTTCAACTGTGAGTTATGCTAGTTCCCATTTCATAGGATTGTTGTGAAATTTAGGTGAGTGAATATATGAAACACTTCATCAGTGCGTAGCGTATGTAGGAGTGTTGGCTGTTAACATGATTACTCAGTCCTTTAGTTATGTCTACAACTCATCGTTGTCCCTGACTTTCTATATGTAGCGCTCGTTTTGTGTCAAACCCAGGGCCAAATATGCTACTGTCTCCAGAACATGAGAATGATAGGAGGGAAGAAAGATAATAGGCACAAAAAGGGAGGTTTATATAATTAATTACTAAAAGATAATGCATACTATCAGTGCTAGAATTTACCAGAATCTGTGATCGTTGAGGTGTGGAGATCAGGGAAAGCTACATGGATAAGCCAAAACTTTACTTGGATCTTAAAGAGTAGCTATAATTTGTTAAATAGAAAAAAAATGGGAGTACAGTCTAGGCAAAGGCATTGCTACAGGTATGGTTGGAATTTAGTAGATCAATCTGGCTGCAAAGAATTAGGTGAGGGAGCAATGCAGATATGATTATGTAAAACCTTGACTATCAGCTATAGGAGTTTGAAAGTTACACAGTGAGGTATGGAAAGCCATTGAAAGTTTCCAAGCAAGAGAGATTAAATGATCAAAACAGGAGGATTATTTTATTTTATTTTGTTTTTTGCTTTATGTTCAACTGTAGACATGCAAATGATTATTTTAGAATCCATATGTAATGTGTCCAGAAAGAAAAGCTTAATTCAGGGAGACAGAATAGAAAAGTCTCGCAAAACGTAGGAGTAAAGTGTGAAGGGGCCAAATCAGGTCGGTTGTAATAAGAGTGGAAAGAAAAAGCCTAGGATGTTTCAACAGAGGGCAAGGCTTTGGTGCTACCTGGCATAGGGTTTCTTTCTACTTATTTATTGATAGTGATAAGCTTTTGCCCATTTTTTCTGTTGAATTATTTACCATTTTTGTGTTGATTTGTAGGAGTTTGTTTAGGCACATAAGTGCTTTTGGATAAAATGCTTACATTCAAAGTAATTAACTGGCACTGTCTGTCCAAGAGATGTGATAGATAGGAAGTTAAGCTTCCAGGAGATGCCTTATCATTTGTGCCAGTGGCTCGGCATTGTTTCTTGATGAATTGTGCAAACTGGGAAGCTGATAGCTCTGGAAATGAGAAAGCAGGTGTTATTTTCTGTTTCTGAATATCCTCGACAAGGTTGCCATGATTCCTTTATTTATCCTCATCATTCTTTTCCTACCTATTCAAGGATGTAAACTGTGTTTCTTCACAGAAATTTCCAAGGAAACTATATTTCGTACATTGATGGAAATGTATGGAAAGCATACAGTTGGACCGAGAAACTGTGAGTATATTCTCTCCAAATATGACAAAAAACTAACTGCATTGTAAGATCCTTCTCGGTCCAGAAATTTGAGGTCGGTACCTCTGAGAAAAGATATTTCCCTTCCATACCCCAAATCAACCTCTGTGGATTGCAATCCTTTGGTTATTTTAAAATTAAATTTGGTAGGCTCTCTAAAATAAGAGGCAATTTAAATTTATTTTTTATTATACAGATAGTACATGGTTATATTCTTTTTTTTCCTCTTTTTTTTTTTTTCAGAGACAGGGTCTTCTTACTTTGTCCCCCAGGCTGGAGTGCAGTGGCACAATCACATCTCACTGCAGCCTTCACCTCCCAGGTGCACGTGATCCTCCCACCTCAGCCTCCCAAGTAGCTGGGACCACAGGTGCATGCCACCACGCCCAGCTAATTTTGTATTTTTTGTAGAGACAGGGTCTTCCCATGCTGCTTAGGCTAGTCTTGAGCTCCTGGGCTCAAGTGATCCTCCCACCTTGGCCTCCTTAAGTGCTTATATTATAGGCATGAGCCACCACCCCCAGCCCGTGATTCTATTTTTAATGTATAAAAATGCAATAACAGGTATAACAGAAACCCTCCTTGTGCCCTACTCCCTCATCCCTGAGGTAGTGCTACTCTGTATTTAGTATACATGCTTCCAGACTTTTCCCCATTTGCCTACATTCATATTTACATAAAGCAAAATAGATTTGCATGTGGTTTTTAAAATCTTTTTTTTTACATAAATGGTAACATTTTGCAACTTGATTCTTTCACTTCATGGTATCACTTACATGATATCATATCATAAGTGTATCACTTATATGATATGATATTCTTTCACTTCATGATTTCTTTCCTTCCCAGTACTCAGACAGTCACCCCATTCATTTAAACTCCTGCATAATCCATAGTCTGGATGCATCGTAGTTTATTTAAGAATTCCCCCATTGATGAATGTTTAGATTATGCTTAGTTTTCTTGTTACATGCATTGCTGCAATGAAATTCCTGTACATGCTTTTTTGTCAACATGGGCAAGGATTCCTGTAGAATAGGTATCTAGAAATGGAATTTTTGGGGTGAAGACTATGTAGATACAAAATTTTAATTGCCCTCAAAAATGTGCCAACTTATTGTCAGCAGAATATAACAGCATTCATTTCCCCCACACCTTTCACCGCTGGGTATTCTCCAACTTTTTGTTGAAGTTATGCCTGAATAAAAGGGATTCCATCCAAATTTGAATTTTTCTGATTACTCATACATTTAATTAAGTATTATATGTTTATTGAACATTTGTGTTTCTTCTCTGAGTTTTCTGTCCTTTGTTCATTTTCCTGTTGAATTGTTTTATCATTTTCTTACTGATTTATAGAAGGAATTGGTTTAGACACATAAATGATTTTGGAAAAAATGCTTACATTCGAAGTAACATTTTTCACAACAGTTTGTTTGTGACATCATTAGTTCAACGTATATAGACAAGTCATGTATGAGTTCTAAATTAAAAATAAAACACATGCTAGGTGCAGTGGCTCACGCCTGTAATCCCAGCAACTTGGGAGGTCGAGGCAGGTGGATCGCCTAAGGTCAGTAGTTTGAGACCAGCCTGGCCAATGTGACGAAACACCGTCTCTACTAAAAATACAAAAATTACCCAGGCCTGGTGGTAGGTGCCTATAATCCCATCTACTTAGGAAGCTGAGGCAGAATTGCTTTATTTATTTTTTGAGACGGAATTTTGTTCTCGTCGCCTGGGCTGGAGTGCAATGGCGCAATCTTGGCTCACTGCATGTTCCACCTCCCGGGTTCAAGGGATTCTCCTGCCGCCGCCTCCTGGGTGGCTGGAATTACAGGTGCCCGCCTCCACGCCCAGCTAATTTTTATATTTTTAGTAGAGACAGGATTTCATCATCTTGGCCAGGCTGGTCTCAAATTCATGACCTCAGGTGATTCACGTGCCTTGGCTTTCCAGAATGCTGGGATTACAGGCGTGAGCCACCACGCCAGACCAGAAGTACATTTTAAAAGCAAGAAAATTATTGCGAAAGTCAGGATAGTGGTTACCTATTAGGGTTAGAGAGAGGGATATGATGGGAAGGGGCACTCTGGGGCTTCTGGGATGCTAGCAATGATCTTTTGTAACAATGTTTACATGGGTATCTGCTTTATAATTATTAAACTGAATATTTGGCCAGGTGAGGTGGCTCATGTCTGCAATCGCAACATTTTGGGAGGCAGAGACAGGAGGATCACTTGAGCCGGGAGTTTGAGACCAGTCTAGGAACAGAGTGAGACTCTGTCTCAGAAATTAAATTAAATTAAATATAAAGAACATTGATGTCCTGTGCACTTTATGCACACTGTAGTTCTCAAATTTTTTTGATGGGGAAAAAGTCTGAATAGCTTCACTTGCAGCCCCGACATGGTTCCATGTGGGGCTTTCATAATAAGGTTTAGAGAAAGAGGAGGAAATGGAGGTTCTGCTGATCTTGGTGCCATCCAGAGGTGGATTCTCAAAGGGATTTTGTGATCTAGAGAGGAGGCATGAAATATACAATTTGGTGGGAAGAGTGGGTAGCAGTGTGCTTGTGTGTTTGTGCTTGCATGTGTGTGTGTGTGTGTGTCTGTCTGTCTGTCTGTGATGGTGGAGAGAGATGGACACAAAAGGGAAAATGTAAGGAAAGGTTTGAATGAAAGCAGAGCAGATACCAGCATCTTGAAATGACCATGACCCAGCTTTCCCCCACATGCAGGACATAGTCCTGTGCGGCAAGTAGTTGTACTTTGCATTGTAATCTAGAAATAACTTTTTCATTTTCCAGAATTCTCAATGAAAATTATTTGACTGAATTACATAAAGATTCATTTGAAGGCCTGCTATCCCTCCAGTATTTGTAAGTTAGTTAATCACATTTATGAGTTTTTAGTCATATTATCTGTAAAATGAATAAGGGGTTCAAATTAGATAATTTCTAAGATTTCTTCCAGCAATAAAATTCTGCAATTCTGTAAGTTTGTATAGGGTCTCAGCCCACCTCTAGCATTAGCTACCTCCTATGCATTTTCAGTTTTTAAATTATATAGACAAAATATAGCCAGAAAAAAATTTCACATGGTAATAAGATCTGAGCAGTGACTGACACCCATATGAACCTTGTTTTATAAGGGTTTACATACCATCTTCTTCTATTCAATCTGCAGTCAGTAGATCAAATGTAATCTAAAGTCTGTTTTTCAATAACCCATTAAGTTAAGAATGATTTTTGCATTTTTAAAGGACTGAAAAAAAAAAGAAAGAGAAATATGCAAGAGACATCATATGTGGCCCACAAAGCCTAAAATATTTACTGTCTGTCCTTCACAAAAAAAGATTTGAAAAAGTTGGTTTAGTAGGATGAAAGGAATTAAAGTTAACTTCAGATTGTTGCCTAAAGGAGAAGAAAATATAGACCACCTACATTCATTGGAACATCATTAATCCAGAACTTTTTGGTAACTTAATTGGAATTAAATTAACATTTAAATATTTAAAATCGGCTGAATTATATAAATAATATTATCAAGAATATTGAGCTACCAAGAGAATAGACTGGTATTAAGGATTTCAGTTCAGGAATTGTTATATTAAAACAGATGTTTAAAATCATGGTAAAGTGGTAGAGCTAGAAATGTTTACATGAAGTAAGCATGTCAGAAATGCCCCGACTCTTCACTAATTACGAAATAACTATCTCCCCAACCCTGTTACTAAGGGATACCTGCATAGTATTTCTGTCTGTTTAGAGACAAGAAGATACTATGTTCATTGCTATGAAAGCTTGATTCTTATCCTTTGTCCATAGAGGTGTATATGTCATTAATCCTTATTAAGTTCATCAGTGATGCTCTTTTGAAAACAGATTCTTTCAAATGTAGAAGGCTTAAGGAAAGTGGGTGTAAAGACCCTCAAGTGGATGTCAATGTGCTACAGAGACCATGAAGTAATAAAACTATGTTTCCTTTAAAATAGTCATTTTCCTTCTACTCACTCCCCTAGCCATTCATTCATTCATTCATTTATTTTTATTATTATTATTATTATTATTTTATTTATTTATTTTTTTTGAGATGGAGTCTCACTCTGTCATCCAGCCTGGAGTGCAGTGGCGCAATTCGGCTCACTGCAAGCTCCACTTTCTGGGTTCACGCTATTCTCCTGCCTCAGCTTCCCAAGTAGCTGGTACTACAGGCGCATGCCGCCTCGCCTGGCTAATTTTTTGTATTTTTAGTACACTTGGGGTTTAGTACATTTGGGTTTCACTGTGTTAGCCAGGATGGTCTGCATCTCCTGACCTTACGATCTGCCCACCTCAGCCTCCCAAAGTGCTGGGATTACAGGCGTGAGCCACCGTGCTGGCCAGCTATTCATTTATTTTACAAATATTTGAATTTACTTTATTTCCATGTGTCAGTTTTAAACATGGTGTGCAATGCAGATGAGCAAAACCTAGTCCATGCTTTCAAGGAGCTCATGCTCAGAAAAAATGGGATGAAAAATAACTACATTAAGAAGAAATGGATGTGGGCACTAGGAGGGATAAATTGTTTCCGAAGCATAGAAGAGGGGAAAATGACTTCAGTTTGGACCAAGGAAGATGTTACTAGAACAATGCCGTTTGAATAGGACTTTGAAGGGCCATTGTGTAACATCGGACAGACATCTTGGGGACAGTATTCTAAACTTGCAAAAGGAAAATGGGAGAAGGGCAAAGCGCAGGAAAGTGTTCGAGGAATACCATGAGTACCTGTAGAGTACAAGGAGGGAGAATAGGAAATTGGAGCCAGATCTTCTAGGGCTTTGAATGCCCAGCTGAGGAGCCATCATGGGGAAGCGTGTTACCGCAGCAGTGCTGCAGATAGATCTGCATCACAATCCCTGAGAGGGGCGTTAGACTCAGTTCCGGATCCGCCCTCGTGGTTACTGATTCAGTTGGTCTAGAGTGGAACCAAGAATTTGCATCTTCAATAATTTCCCAGGAAATGCTGGTCTTTGCAAACCACTTGTGGAGAGTTTATCTGATGACTGTGTGCAGGATAGTTTAGGAAGGGAGAGACTAGATATGGAGACGTCAGCCAGACAGCATTATTCCATCCAGGTAAAGAGGGAGGGAGGCCGGGCGCGGTGGCTCACGCCTGTAATCCCAGCACTTTGGGAGGCCAAGGCGGGTGGATCATGAAGTCAGGAGATCGAGACCATCGTGGCTAACACAGTGAAACCCCGTCTCTACTAAAAATGCAAAAAATTAGCCGGATGTGGCGGTGGGCGCCTGTAGTCCCAGCTACTTGGGAGGCTGAGGCAGGAGAATGGCGTGAACCTGGGAGGCAGAGCTTGCAGTGAGCCGAGATCGCGCCACTACACTCCAGCCTGGGCGACTGAGTGAGACTCCGTCTGGGAAAAAAAAAAAAGAGGGAGGGACAGGCCCCATCACTGTATAACTGACAAAATTGCTTTCATGAATTACTAAAGCAATATAAAACCAAAAATGAATTTCTGTTAATATGATAGAAATTAATATGATTTGAATTAGTTCAAAGTTATGTATTAAGTAAAGGGGTAACTTCCTTTCAAATGATGTGAAAGGATGTCTTTTATTTCTTCTGATACTGAACTGGCTTAGGAAAACAGACCTAAACTAGGAAGGTGTATAAATGTGAGGCTATTCATTTTAATATTAGAAACTGTATATAGAGATAAAAACTTTGAGCTTATAGTCTAGGATTTGATGAGACGACAAAAGGGCATCTAATCAAGTCTACTGCTCTCAGGAAAAATTCATTCCAAAGTCTATTAAGTTGTATATTTTATTTATTAAAACTATGAAGGTGAGACTCTAGGAGAGGTATGGGCAGGGTTAGGGGCTCTGGAAAGTTCAAATACAAGTCCAGACGTTTAGAGTTGAGATGAAAAATGTGTATTCAATGTTACTCTAACCTCTTGCTATTATTCATACTAATCTACATCTGATAACTTACCAAGGCAATATTTTCCTTTTATTTTTCCTAGGGATTTATCCTGCAATAAAATACACTCTATTGAAAGACGTACATTTGAACCACTACCATTTTTGCAGTTTATGTAAGTTACAAATATAACTTTATTACATTTGGAATTTTTATAAAACTTAATTATAAACCTCTTTACTATTCATTTTGAAATATGATTAAAATTTCACCAGTAGAAAGGTACTAAAATTATATAGCAAATTCTTTTTGTCTCTAGCAAGGATTCTTGTGAGAATTATTACACAGATCATAGTGAATCATCAGAGAGCAGTGGTTCTCAGCTGATGTGATTTTGTACTCAGGTGACATTTGGTAATGTCCAGAGACAGTTTTGGTTGACAAAACCGTGGGTGTGCTCCTGGCATCTGGTGGGCAGAGGTCAGAGATGCTGCTCAACATCCTCCAAAGTATAAGACTAAACATCCTCCAAAGTATAACACAGACCCCCATGGGAAAGTTATAGAGTCCAAAATGTTGATGGTACTGAAGTTGTGGAATCCTGTTCTAGAGAACTAAAGACCACTTCACACAGGTATTTACTGAGCATTCACTGTTTTGTAGCTAATGCACCACATGTGCAATGCTAAAGTATAAATCATAAGCCAGTATCTTCCACAGTGAGATTTCCTTAGTGCATACAGGAAGGATTGAGGTTATGTTCCATCCTATGTAAATTAGAATCACAGCAAATGATAAATGTTCTGAAATAATTTTTTTTTCCTTTGGCTTATGCCTTTTTTTGTAGAAATCTTGGTTGCAATTTACTCACAGAACTGAGCTTTGGAACATTTCAGGCCTGGCACGGAATGCAGTTTTTACACAAGTTGTAAGTGAAATAGAAGATGAATGCAAGTAACCAACTATATTGTATAAAAACTCATACAATTATTGGTTAGCTGGGTATAAGCCCATTATGAACTCTGAAAAGTGTGTCTTAAGATCCATTTGTTTTTCTCAAATGGAGAAACTAAGGTACAAAGAGGCCTAGAGACTTACATAGTTTATGTATGACTTGCTCTGCTTCTCCTAGTTCTGACCTATGGCATGGTCAAGAAAAGGCATCAAAGAAGTGACCCTCAAATTAGCCTTGTTGCTGGGCGGGGTGGCTCAGGCCTGTAATCCCAGAGCTTTGGGAGCCGAGGCGGGCGGATCACCTGAGGTCAGGAATTCAACACCAGCCTGGCCAACATAGTGAATCCCCATCCCTACTAAAAATACAAAAAAATTAGGTGGGCATAGTGGTGCAGTTTTTTGCTCCCTGGAGGGCTTTGTGTAAGCTTCCTTCCTTGCAGCTAAATGTTGCAGACATTTAAGCAGTTAGAAACTCTGCATATGAGCAGGAATCAAAGTTAAATCCAAAGTGTAGGGCCGGGTGTGGTGGCTTATGCCCTCCACCAGAGAACAGGCTCATTAGGTCCCTCCACCAAGAGTATTTAGGTAGCATCAATACAAATGGGTTAAACTCACCACCTTTACTAAGCACTTTATATACTGTGAGGCCCTCATAAGAATCTGGTGGCCGGGAGCGGTGACTGATGCCTGTAATTCCACCACTTCTGAAGGCTGAGGTGGGTGGATCACTTGAAGTCAAGAGTTCAAGACCAGCCTGACCATCATGGCGAAACCCCGTCTCTACTAAAAATACAAAAATTAGCTGGGCATAGTGGCGGCCACATGTAATCCCAGTACTCAGGAGACTGAGGCAGGAGAATCACTTGAACCCAGGAGGTGGAGGTTGCAGTGAGCCAAGGTCATGCCATTGCACTTAAGCCTGGGTGACAGAGCAAGACTCTGGCAGAGATGGGATTTTACCATGTTGGTCAGGCTAGTCTGGAACTCCTGACCTCAGATGATCTGCCCACCTTGGCCTCCCAAAGTGCTGAGATTACAGGCATGAGCCACCAGGCCCAGACAATAAATGGAAACTTTAACTCAAAAGAAGGAAGGAAGGGAGGACGGGAGGAAAGGAGGGAGGGAGGGGCGGAGGGAGGGAAGGGAAGGAGGGAGGGAAATGAAGAAAGAGAAAGACAGAAAAAGAGAGAGAGAAATAAAGAAAGAAAAGAAAAGTTTTTAAAACCGTAAGGTTAAAGTAAACCCTTTTTCTTCATACAGATTAAGCACATGAGTTCAGATTACAGATTTGCTTCTTAATAGCTTAGTGACCTAGGACAAGTTGTGTAACCTCTCTGTGCCTCAGTTTCCTCATTTATAAAATAGGGCAATAATAATATCTACCACCTAAGATTATTGTGAGGATGAAACGTGAAATGCTGATCACAAGTACGTAGCAGCCTAATAGATACTCACTGTAATAATTACTATTTTTATAATTTCTGCAAAAGTACAGTGATGATTCTTGGGTTAACCTAAAGGGTGATTTTCTTTTATTTCTTCCTGTTTCTTTTCTTTTTCTTGCTCACTTTAAAGAATTAAAAAGAAAATAGATTCCCGCATTTTGCAATAAAAATTCATATCAAAATGAATTTATTCATTTTATTGACATGTAAACAAAATGTCATTTGTTTATTCAATAAACATTTATTAAATCCGTAGTAAATTTCAGACATCATGCCAGGCACAGGGATGACAATGACAATAAGATGCGGTCTCTGCCCACAAGGAGCTGATAGTCCAGGAGACTGACAAGTAGACAGGTGATTACATGCAATGTAACAAAGGCTGTGATGTCATAAAAGAAGACAAGTGGGAGTATGTGATGGGAGTATGGTTTTGACCCGTTCCTTCTCTTAGATTTATCCCTTTTTCTTTGGCTATAAAGCAAAAGAATTGGTCCTATTTTTTTTCCTTAACTGTGCAAATTAAACCATAAATTTGAAAAACTTTATAAAGATAAAAGGCAAGCAGTCAGGTACAGTGGCTCATGCCTGTAATCCTAACACATTGGTAGGCCGAGGAGGGTGGATCACCTGAGGTTAGGAGTTCAAGACCATTCTGTCCAACATGATGAAACCCCGTCTTTACTAAAAATACAAAAATTAGCTGAGTGTGGTGGCGGGCACCTGTAATCCCAGCTACTCAGGAGGCTGAGGCAGGAGAATTGCTTGAACCCAGGAGGTGGAGGTTGCAGTGAGCCGAGATAGAGCCATTGCTGTCCAGCCTGGGCTACAGAGCAATACTCCATCTCAAAAAAAAAAAAAAAAAAAAACTAAGAAAAAAAAATAAAGAGCAAGTTGAATTATGGACGAGCAACTTGAATTATGGAGGACACTAGAAATAGTTTTCCTACAGAGTCGGGGCTTCCTACCAACATAGTCACTTCTAGGGTTTTTGACCTGAAAAGTTCTGTGGCATATTTTTTCTTTGCTATCCACTTTTTGTGTGTGTGTTTTTTTTTTTTTTCCTATTTCTTCACCTCTTTCTCTCCTCTACTTTATCTTCTAGAGACCTAGGTAGTTCCCAAAGGAATAGTGCTTTACGAAGTCTAAGGGTGATTTATTAGGTAAAAACAGAATTTTTTTTTTTTTTACCAATAAGTTCCATACCAAAATATGAATGTAAACTTTTTATGCAGTTTCACACATTGAAAATGCAGGCAATTTTAATTTCATTGCGTTTTTCAGAATTCTCAATCGCAATCCTCTGACAGCTGTTGAAGATCCATATCTCTTTGAACTGCCGGCATTAAAATATTTGTAAGTACTATAGTACTCTCGAGTCATGAGATGATTTATGCTTTTTAAATTTGTCATCAAAGATTAAGTATTTTGCATTTAGGCTAAAATGTCGTAATTTAAATTTTAACTGAGTTATTGAAAAAAGTTATTGGCAAAGAAAAGGATTAAGAAAGGATGTGTAATGGTCAAGACAGCCAGCAGGGAAAGAGAACAGTGTTGAAGAGCCCGTATAGATTTGGAACATGTAGACACATGGAGGAATATTACTTAACCAAGAAAGTAAAGAGGAATAGGTGTTCGTTATTCTAAAAATGAAAAGAGTAAATAAAATAAGATGGTGAATGCAATATGAAAATGAGAAGATAATGGTAAAAAAAAAAGGTGTAAGTTCTACTCTTGAATATCATTAATTTGATGACGCAAATCAACTTAAATTTCTTTAATAAGAGCTCCCTGGAATTCAACAGCAAAGAAACTCTTGAAGTGGCTTGTTGTATAGAGAAGCCAAAATTGAAGTAATCACATGTCCTTGAAATACCTTTTTAAGTGCAGAATTTTTTATTGGAGTTCATATCATGAATATTTTGGCTTTCTTCTTCAGAGACATGGGAACAACGCAAGTTCCACTTGCAACACTTAAGAACATTCTCACGATGACTGTTGAATTGGAAAAACTGTAAGTTATTTTTTTCTTAGATTTATATTTACTTAGTTGGTTTTTTAGGTTTGTTTTATTTTCTTAAGTCAGGTTTATTGAGATATAATTTTCACATAATATTCACCCTTTATAAGTGTATAGTGTATATACATTTGAAAATGTATAGTTACATAAGCACCACCACGTTCCCAGTACAAAGCATTTCTGTTATCTCAAAAAGGCCCCTCCTGTCCCTTTGTAGGCAATCCCCTCCTCCCACCATCAGCCCCCGGTAACTACTAATCTGATTTCTGTTCCTATACTTTTGCCTTTTTCAGAATGTCTTATAAATGAAATCAGGTAGCATGTAGCCTCTTGGGTTTGACTTCTTAAGATTAACCTTGAGAATTTATTCCAGTTACAGAGATTGTTTATATTTCTCTGAAACTGCCCCCGATAAGCCATAACAACAAATTAATTAATTGTCTTGGTTATCTCTTTTGCCCAAATTTACATTTTGAAAAAAATTCAAACATGCCAGAAAGATGAAAGAATAGTACAGAATCCAATTGAAGATCAGGCAGTGCATGTCATGTCTTTGTTTCCTTTCATCTAAAACATTCCTCTACTTTTTTTGATCTTTCATGACATTGGCATTTTTTGAGTCAAAGATAGTTGTCTTGTAAATTGTCCCACAATCTGGATTTGTCTGTTTTTGCATGAGATTCAAGGTAAGCATTTTTGGGAAGAATACTGCATAGGTGATGTATCCTTCCTGCCTCGTGACCGCAGGTGGCTCATAATGCTAAGTCTGATCACTTGTTTAAGATGATCTTCCAGATCTCTCCACTGTAGTTATTTTGCTGGGTGTGGTGGCTCACACTTGTAATCCCAGCACTTTGGAAGGCCGAGACAGGCAGATCACTTGAGTCCAGTTTTAGACCAGCCTGAACAACAAGGTGAAACCCTGTCTCTACTAAAAATAAAAAAAAAATGAATAAAAATAAAAATTAAAAATTAATTAGCTGGGGTGGGCCTATAGTCCCATCTGCTTGGGGGGCTGAATTTGGAGGGTCGGTTGAGTCCAGGGGGGTTAAGGCTGCAGTGAGCTATGATTTTGCCACTGTACTTCAGCCTAGGTGACAGAATGAGACCTTGTCTCATAAAAAAATAAAAAATAATTTTTCCCTTTGGTAATTAATAAAAAATGTGTGGGGTGGTACTTTGAGATCAGTGAAGATCCTGTTCTCAGATGTCTTTTCACCCAAATGTGCATCAGTGATAATCCTTGTCTGAATCAATTTTTATTACATTGGTGGTTGCAAGGTGACACTTTAAAAAATTCTGTCATTCCTTCTACATTTATTAGCTAGCATTATTTCCTTAAAGAACAACTCCTCCTCGTTTTTAATATCAGTCTTCATGGATTTTTTATATATTATGTTGTAACTTATTGTTGTTACTCTTTTGAATCCTCAAATTGTGCAGATTTGGCCAATGCTATCTCCATTATTTTTTTAACCCCATAATCCAGGTTAAACTGAGCTATTTTTAATGCCCAGAGTAATTTATAGTATTTCTCACTCCCAACAGGAATTGAGAAAGGGCCTCCAGAAGTTGGGGGCTTATTCAGACTCTTCTTAGAAGTCTACCTTCTTCCTGTGTACGTTCAGCCCAAAGTGAGACTTTGGAGTTGGGAAGAAATACTTCTGAATTAAACTACTGATCAGTGTCACCCAATTCTAATCCCAACCACCTTTATTCTAGGCATACCATACTCACTGCCATGCTTACCCTTTGGTTGGGCACCTCTGTCCTCCTTCCTATTGGCCTTCTAGTTCCTACCCAACTGTTCAGTACACAGGCCTCAATAACACCTTTTTGCCCAGCCCTGTGGTAGTGTTGGCCTGCCTCCTTTACCTTCTCAAGTAACTGCTTTACCACTAATTTATTGTTTTGTGTTTTCACCTGTAGGATCTTACCTAGCCATATGGCCTGCTGCCTCTGCCAATTTAAAAACAGCATTGAGGCTGTCTGCAAGACAGTCAAGCTGCATTGCAACAGTGCATGTCTGACAAACACCATACATTGTCGTGAGTCTAAATTGCCTGGTGATCGTTATATTATTTTAAGTATTTGTTTTTAAATTTTTTATTTTTAATTGATGATAAAAATTTAAGCTAATGATATAATTGATTTACTCATTCAGATTTAAAGTCCCTCAACTTGTGAACTCCTCCCTTGCTGAGACTTAGGTTCTCAGTTATTATTACAAAATTTAATAATGGAACTGTTTCCTATGCATAAAGGACCAAGAGAAAGGAATGGGAAGACTAGGGAATAACATTAACATCTACACACTGTGTACTGTGCTGTCTGCTTGGTGCTTTGCCCCCAGTGATAATTTCTTCATGTACTGCAATGTACTGTGTAAGCTGGTTATATATGCATGAGGTTTCAAGTACTCTGCATTTTAGGACAGATGTAGATCTGGTTTTGTTTTTGTTTATGCAATTTTATAAGAGTACAGGTGATGCTGTTTTATTTGAAGCCGGAGAGCTTCTGGTTCCATAACCAGAAATTGCTACCTGGCTCTTCTAATGAAATGGAGGGCTTTTCCATGCTTAGACCATCGAACGCTGAACTTGCTCTGAATTCAAACCTTTCCATTCACAGAACAAATACGCAAGTGCTTCAAGAGTTTTTCTGTAGATTAGGTTTATTAGCACCAACTTCATGACTTCTAAAATGTGACTGCTTTCATGTACAGATAGCTTGAAAACTGGTATCTACCAGTAATATGGGGTGGATAATTAATAATGCTTGGCTACTTATATGAAGACAATGTTACTTATTTTTCAGAATTTTTTTTTTTTTTTGAGACGGAGTCTCGCTCTGTTGCCCAAGCTGGAGTGCAGTGGCGCGATCCTGGCTCACTGAAAGCTCCGCCTCCTGGCTTCACGCCATTCTCCTGCCTCAGCCTCCCGAGTAGCTGGGACTACAGGCGCCCGCCAAGGCGCCCGGCTAACTTTTTGTATTTTTAGTAGAGACGGGGTTTCACCATGGTCTTGATCTCCTGACCTTGTGATCCGCCAGCCTCGGCCTCCCAAAGTGAGAATTTTTTTTTAAACCAATTAAACTATTCCCTTCTCCCCAGGAGGTGGGCAGAACAGCATTGGTGATCTCCTTTTACAGATGAGGAAAAACAAGATCAGAGGTGCTAAGTGCTGTACCTTGTGTCAGGTCTTCTGTCCCAATTCTGGGTTCTCCCCAAGCCCATGTTTCTCCTTTCTCACAATCTTTACTTCTTCCTCTGACCTTCAGCACCACCCAAAATACTTTTAATTCTGGAAAAGAAAGCCAGCTGCACACGGGCACACTTGACCTTCATGCATTCAGAAGCTTTGGATGGTTCCCCATCCAGAATATTAGAGATGAAATGAAAGCAAAGTAGGCATCTGACAAAAGTTGCTTTTTCCCTTCTGCATTTTGGGACCTCAAGTAATGTTTATCCAGAAACTGCTGTCATACCATAGATTCATTGTATATTTAACAACATAGGCATACCATCTGGCAAATTAAAAATCTCTTAACCTACACCCTGGATCATTGCCCACATTTAAGAAAAGAACTAGGGTGGACACAGTGTTTTTTCCATGTCATGTGTTCTGTGATGGGGCTGCGATACGTGGGAGCAGAGAATGGGGTGGGTGGGTGGAGCGTGTACCAGATGAGAATCTATCAGCAATAGGAGGGGCTCTCCAAGTTAGCATCTCCACCCTGCTCCTCTCAGAGGACCGCCTTCCATTGCATTCAGCTGTGATGGTAGCAAGAACACGGGTACACTGAGGACAAGGAGAGAGGGAGCCTTGTGCTCTCTCTCTGCATCTGAGGCAGGACAGCACAGGGTACGGAGCAGTCTGCAGAGAAGCCAGCTCATCAGGGAAGCACTTATCTTCCACTTTGGGCTTTGACTGAGCACTGGGCAACTGGCCCCTGGGGATCAACGGAATAATCCTAAGCAGAGTTACTCTATGTCACACTATGGAATGTTCCAAGTAGGTGGCCATGTTTTCAAAAGATGTCTTTTCTCCTTTTGTTGTTGCCATTTCATAGGTTTAGGATTGGGTGTGTGTTTCTCCTCTCTGAATGGCACTCGAATGTTTGCTGATTCCTACTCTGTGTGACTGGGGTGTACAGCTGTGGACTGATGCATGCTGTCCCATCATCTTTCATGATCAAAGCAGTCTCTTCTTTTTTCACAGCTGAAGAAGCATCTGTAGGGAATCCAGAAGGAGCGTTCATGAAGGTGTTACAGGCCCGGAAGAAGCACACGAGCACTGAGCTGACTATTGAGCCGGAGGTGCCCTCAGACAGGAGTCGCATCAACTTCTCCGGCTTTGGGAGTGAGCAGCTAGACACCAATGACGAGAATGAAGTTATCAGTGCATTAAGTTATATCTTGCCTTATTTCTCAGCAGGAAATCTAGATGCGGAATCAATATTGTTACCGTTCACTAAACTGCTTTTTGCAAATGTGCAAGATCGCGATAGGCCCCTGAGTATTTTGAAAAACAATACAAACAGCCCTTCTCTTCAACCTGCATCCAACAGCTCAACTTATGAAAATAAATTGAGAAAGCTATATTTGCTAGAAAAGATACTAGATGCGGAAAAACAAGAAAAAATCAATGAAGTTAAAAGGGAAGAAAAAACTGCCATGCTTATGCACACCAGCCTTCTAGGTAACAAATTCAAACGCCAATTATTTGAAAAGAAATTAGAAACTGTCCAACCCCAGGAAAACAGCCTGGCAAAGATTCAAAGTGTAGGCAACAACCTGCAGAGAATGAACAGAGTCCTCACGGGCCCAAGGAGCATCCAGAAAAGGCACTTCAAAGAGGTGGGAAAGCAGAGCACCAGGAGGGAAGAGGGTGCGCAGGCATTTGTGGAGAGCGCTGCCCAAGAAAAAAGGCTCGGGAGCCCAGTCTCAAGGGAGCTGGAACAGCCTCACACAGAGCAGGGACGTGAGAAGTTAGTGGGAAACACCGTCTACACCAAGCCTTCGTTCACCCAAGAGCTTAACGCAGCAGTCTCCTCTGTGCTGAAACCCTTCTCCATGGGCGAGCCTTCTGCCTCCACCCCTGCAAAAGCCCTACCTGAGGTCAGAGACAGATCGAAAGACTTAACCCACGCCGTTTTCATTTTAGAAAATGCAAAGGCTAGAGTTACAAATATGAAGGCTGCTAAACCAATCGTACATTCCAGAAAAAACTACCACTTTCATAAAACTCGCTCCCGTGTGGCCCACACAACACCCAAGGTCAAAAAGATTAGAAAGTTGAGAAAGGAAAGTTATCTCGATAGACTGATGCTCGCAAACAGGCCGCTGTTGTCTGCAGCGAAGAGCCTCATAAATTCCCTTTCACAAGGGACTTTTTCATCTTTAGGAGACTGGAGTCCTCAGGAAAATCCTTTTCCTAAACTATTTGATCCTTCAGAACGTGTTATAGAGAACACTAATGTAAAGAACACAACTGCAAGAAATGCCTTCGAAGCAATCATTTTTATGGAAAACCCTACTATGCCGGAAGACACCATCTCTGAAAACACAACCTACAATCCTCCTCCTGAGGCAGATTCCGCTGGGACTGCGTTCAACTTAGGGCCAACTGTTAAACGAACCAATCAGACACAATGGGAATACAACAATGTGGGCACTGACCTGTCCCCCTAGCCCAAAAGCTTCAATTACCCGTTGCTTTCATCCCCAGGTGATCAGTTTGAAATTCAGCTAACCGAGCAGCTACGGTCCCTCATCCCCAGCGAGGATGTGAGAAGGTTTATTTCTCATGTTATCCGGACCTTAAAGATGGACTGCTCTGAAACCCGTGTGCAACTGACCTGTGCCAAGCTCATCTCCAGGACAGGCCTCCTGATGAAGCTTCTCAGTGAGCAGCAGGAAGTAAAGGCGTCCAAGGCAGAATGGGATACGGACCAATGGAAAACTGAGAACTACATCAATGAGAGCACGGAAGCCCAGAGTGAACAGAAAGAGCAGAAGTTGAGTGAGGTGAGGACCACACAGAAACATGAGACCCAGATTTCCCATCATTTAGTGTATTCCAGGAAAGTGCCCACACAGGAGAACCTGGGACTCCCAGGCCATAGCTTGTCCTGGTCATGTAACTTTGGCCATGACAGTGATCTCCCACTTGACTTATTTGGAGAGAGAAATAGATTAGTGCACAAGATGAACTGTAGGCCGGGGGTGGTAGCTCACATCTGTAATCCCAGCACTTTGGGAGGCCAAGGTGGGTGGATCACTTGAGGTCAGGAGTTTCAGACCAGCTTGGCCAACATAATGAAACCCTGTTGCCATAAAAAATACAAAAATTAGCTGGGTATGGTGACACATGCCTGTCCCAGCTACTTGGGAGGCTAAGGTCGGAGGATCACCTCAGCCTAGGGAGGTCAAGTCTGTAGTAAACTGTGATCTCAACAGTGTACTCTAACCTGGGTGACAGTGAGATCTTGTCTTTATTTTGTTGAGACAAAAATAAATAAGAACCTGTAAGCTACTCACCTGGAATACTGGGGTTTTGAAAAGTTAGTTTTCATTCTGGTTTTTTTTTTTTTTAATTAATCTTTCCTTTTTTTTTCAGCTCACAAAAGAAGTTCCAGGATATGGCTATAACAACAAACTCATCTTGGCAATATGTGTGACTGTAACACTGATTATTTTGATTACAATTTTCTGCCTCATTGAGGTAAGGACAATAATTAATTCAGGTTTTCAGAATGCAGTCCTGTCTTTGTGTGGATTCAGAGCTCACAAACTGAAAACCAAAGCCGCTTTCCCACCTGCTGCTACTCGACATTCTTCTTCAGTCGTTTAAGGTTGAGATATGCTTTGTTCTCTTACTGTAGTGTATATTCTAGGGTTTTTAAAGGATCCTCACTTCCAGGAGAGCTCTGTGAATTGAAAACAAGTGAATCCCGCTAGATTATTTTAAGAAGTTAAATTGATATAATAGCAAAATTTCTCCCTCCCAAAATGATGTCAACAACTAGATGTACTCACCAAGTCACCCTTACTCTGCCACTCATTTATTTCCTTGTTGCTGAAATGATGAAAGACATATAATCTCCACCTCACGGAGTTGTCATCACCCTGGAGAGGAAGGAGACAGCCAATAGAGAGAAGTATTGTCTTGTAGACTTACTAGGTTCACACAGTATCATCCTTCTCCAGTGTGTAAGGCGTTGTCTAAATAGGTCCAGTTAAAGCGCTACAGGGTAGCCATCTTTTAAAAAAATTGTTGGCCACATTTTTAAGTTCTCAGGGGAGGGGGAATGTCTCATACTCGAGCCCTCTTGAGCCTAGGCCCTCTGTGAGATGTGTCACCATTTCTTGGAGACCATGTGAGACATTCCCCCTTGGATTAGAGATGCTCAACCTGCATCAACATATCTAAAGCCTACATCTGGATACTCTGGGGCGAGTCCTGTTCACAGTGCCCATTCCTGGAGCTTGCCTTTGTTTGCCTTTTGTTCAATTACATAATGTATTACTTTTCCCAACAGGCCAGTGCTAGCATATTGGAAGTGATTTAATAAGCTGGCACCCTTGACGCTATGCTACCAGTCCAACCTTATTTGCCTCATTTACCATTTCCATTATTGTGGCAGCCCTCCATTCCAGCCAGAGCAGCCCCTCACCATACCCCAGTCACACCATCCGCATTTCTGCTTTTGTGCGTTTGTCCATCTAAAATGCCCTTATTTCACTCTGCCTGTGGGAGTGCCATGAATCTCTCCAAAGCCAACTCAAGTTCATCTTCATGCTTGAAACCTTCCCTGACTATTCCGGCCCTCCTGAGCCTAGTCCCTTTGTGAGATTTGTCACCATTTCTTGGACACCATATGAGAGGCTGAAGTGGGAGGATTGCTTGAGTCCGGAAGGTCGAGGATGCAGTGAGCTCTGGTCATACCACTGCACTCTAGCCTGGGCAACAGAGCGAGACCCTGTCTCAAAAACAGCCACCACCAAAAACTATCTTGGGATTTTAATAGGATTACATTAAATTTGTAGATTAATTTGAGAATTGATATCTGTACAACATTCTAGGAATGAGCTATCTCATGTCATGTGTTCATTTCTTGTTAATGTCTTTCAAAAGAGTTTTAGGGTTTCCATCATGTAGATCTTACACATCTTTTGTTAGATAAAAGATCTTTGTATTTCTGTTCCTAAATACTTCATACATTTGCATTGCCATTGTAAATGGGATCTTTCTTCCATTTTCTAATTGGTGGTACATCTGAAAGTATTTGAGATTTGTGTGCTGCTCTCTTGATTTTGTTTCTAGCCACCGTACTGAATCCTCATATTACTTCCACTAAAATCTTAGTTGATTCTCTTAGGCTTCTTTGACTGTCTAACATTTATCATTTCATATGCAAATAATGATAGTTTTGTCTCTTCCTTTTCAATACTTATATTCTTTCCTTTCCGTTTTCCTTTCCTTTCTTTTTTTTTTCTTTCTCAGGGCCTTGTTGTCACCCAGGCTGGAGAGCAATGGTGTGATCTAGCTAACTGTAACCTCAAACTCCTGGGCTTAAGGGATCCTCCTGCCTCAGCTTCCAGAGTTGCTGGGACTACAGGCAGGCAGCTAATTTTTTAAAAAAATTGTTTTTAATGTTGCCCCAGGCTGGTTTTCCAGCCACTTTAGAGGAAGGACTCGGGTTTCCTTTTTTTTTTCTCCTACTTTTAAGAGTTTTTTTTTTTATGAGGAATTGTCCGTTGAATGTTAGCTAAAACAGTCAATAGAATGTATTAAGTGCCAGCTACACGCAAGACCCTAAGTTAGATACAGTCAGCCCTCTTCATCAGCAGGTCCACATCTTCAGATTCAACTGGATGAGGCTGAATACTTGAAAAAAGAAACGAAAATACAAATAGAAAGTATAACAACTCTCACCATTGTACAATATCGATACATTTTATTAGTGATGACTTAAAGTACATGGGACCAGGCACGGTGATTCACACTTGTAATCCCAACACTTTGGGAGCCCAACCTGGGCAGCATAGTGAGACCTGGTCTTTACTAAAAATAAAAATTAAAATTAAAAATTGGCCAGGTGTGGTGGTATGCACCTGTAGTCCCAGCTGCTCAAGAGGCTGAGGTGGGCAGATCACTGGAGCCCAGGAGGTTGAGGCTACAGTGAGCTGTGATTGTGACACTGCACTCCAGCCTGAGTGACAGAGGGTGATCCTATCTCTAAGTAAGTGAATAAAGGATTTGGGGGGATGTGTGTTAGTTATATGCAAATACTGCATCATTATATATAAGGGATTGAGCATCCACAGATTCTGGTATGGTGTGGGGGCGGTATCCTAGAACCAGTCCCCCGCAAGATAGCAAGGATGACTGAACTGTGGAAGAATCAAAGCTCTGTTGAACAGCATACAATTCCTGTCTTCAAAAATCTTATCTCACCAGGTAGATGAGACTTAAAATGAATAAAAGGAATGAATACAGATTTGGAGATAGTGGTTGTTGTGATGGATAATCTTAATTGTGTTTTCTTCCAAAACAGATTCATTCCCACAAAAGGGCATCAGAGGAGAATAAAGAAGACTCATCAGTGTCAGGCCCCTGAGCCCAAGTTAAGGCATCCAGATGGCCTGGAGCCATGTTTTTTAAATTTTATTATTAAGTATTGTTCTTTACTTTGTGGTTGTGTTCCTCAAAATGAGGATTTTTAACAATAATAAAAATAAAGCTTGTTAGATCATTTTTAATTTTAATAAATTGGTTCCTGAAGATTTGACTAAAGAGAAAACTAGGCCAATCTAAGCAGAGTCCAAATGAAGTAGAAAGTCCGTAGAGAACGAGGAAAAAAGGAAATTGTTGAACCACAGACACAGTAAAAGGAAAAAACTGGCCAGGTGCAATGGCTCACACCTGTAATCCCAGCACTTTGGGAGGCTGAGCTGGGTGGATCGCTTGAGCCCAGGAGTTCAGGCAACCTGACAAAACCCCCATCTCTACAAAAAATATACAAAAATTAGCCAGGCGTGGTGGTGTGCACCTGTAGTCCTATGTACTTGGTAGGCTGAGTTGGGAGTATCACTTGAACCTGGGAGGTTGCAGTGAGCTGAGGTTGAGCTGTTACACCCCAACCTGGGGGGTGACAGGGTGAAAGAGTGAGACCCTGTCTTTAAAAAAAAAAAAAAGGAAGAAAGCAAAGAAAAAAATGTATATATATATATATTTTTTGAAACAAGGTTTGACTCTCACCGAGGCTGGAGTGCAGTGGTGCAATCTCGGCTCACTGCAACTTCTGCCTCCCAGGCTCAAGCGATCCTCCTGCCTCAGCTTCTCAAGTAGCTGGAACTACAGGCACGTGCCACCAAACCTGTATTTTTTGTAAAGAAGGGGTCTCAATATGTTGCCCAAGCTGGTCTTGAATTCCTGGGTTACAGTGATCCACCCACCTCGGCCTCCCAAAGTGCTGGGATTACAGGTGTGAGTTACCATGACTAGCCAAAAAAAAGTTGAAGTGTTAAAATCAAAAAGAAAATTCACCAAGCCATTTTGCATATTTTTCTGGAAAGATACAGAGAGAGAGATATATATGTGTGTGTGTGTATATATATATGTATATATAGAGAGAGAGATACAGATAGATCTGGACTATATACCTTATAGTATAAGGTATAACTTTGTTGCAGAAAGGACAAAGGGAACTGATTAGGGTTAAGGCGCATATATGTATGTGTATATGTGTGTGTGTGTGTATATATGTATATATATGTGTGTGTTTATGTTTTCCCAATTCCTCACACCACTCCTTTTTATTAATTTTTATTGAGATGTAATTTATACACCATAAATTCACCCATTTAGATAAACGCAGAATTTAGTGGGTTTTAGTATAGTATTCACAAGGCTGTACAGCCATCACCACTATTTAATTCCAGAACATTTTCATCACCCCAGAAAGAAGCCCCAGAATCACTGGCCCTACTCCCCATTTCCTCTCCCATTTCCCGGCAAGTATTTACTTACTTCCTATGAATTTGCCCATTTGGGACATTTCATATAAATGAAATCATAAAATACGTGATTTCACTAAATAAGACTTTTGTGTGTGACTTCAAACAGTTAAGTAGGCATAACATAACATTTAAACGCTAATCACTGCCCCCTCCCCCTACCTTTTTTTTGAGACAGGGTCTCACTCTGTCTTCCTAGCTAGAGTGCAGTGGTCTGATCACAGCTCACTGCAGCCTTAACCTCCCCAGGCTCAGGTGATCCTCCTACCTCAGTCTCACAAGTAACTGGGACCACACCACCACACCTAGCTAATTTTTGCATTGTTTGTAGAGACAGGATTTCGCTATGTTGCCCAGGCTGATCTTAAACTCATGGACTCAAGTGATCCTCCTACCTCAGCCTCCCAAAGTGCTGGGATTGCAGGCATCAGCTACCACACCTGGTTATCTTTAACCATTTTTAAGTGTACAATTCAGTAGTGTTAAGTACATTCACATTGTTGTACAACAAATCTCCAGAACTTTTTCATCTTCCCAAATTGAAACTCTGGACCTATTAAACACTAACTCCCCATTCTCTCCTCCCAGCCCATGGTAACCACCCTTCTACTTTCTGTCTCTATGAATCTGACCACTCTGAGTACCTCACGTGAGTGGAATCACACAGTATTTCTCCTTTGGTGACTGGCTTATTTCTCTTGGCATAACGCCCTCAAGGGTTCTCCATGTTGTAACGCGTCAGAATTTCCTTCCTTTCAAGGCTGAAGAATATTTCGTTGTATGGATCAATCACATTTGCGTTCTCCATTCATCAGTTAATGCACATGTAGGTTGTTTGCACCTTTTGATCATTGAGAATAATGCTGCTGTATACATATGTGCATGTGTTTCTGTATGACCATTTGTTTGCAATTCTTCTGACTATATATGTATGAAAAGAATTACTGGGTCATGTAGTAGCTCTAAGTTTAACTTTTTGAGTAACTGCCAAAGCATTTTCCATAGTGCTACATGGTTTTACATTCTCGCTAACAATATATAATGGTTCCTGTTTCCCCAAATCCTCCCCAACACTTTTTATTTTTTTTAAACAAATACAGCCATGCTGGTGAATGAGAAGTGACATCTCATTGTAGTTTGGGTTTTAATTTTACAATATTTTAATTTTTAAAATCAAAAGAATATACTTGGCCTGAGGTGGTGGCTCACGCCTGTAATCCCAGCATTTTGGGGGGCCAAGTTTAAGACCAGCCTGCCCAACATGGTGAAAACCCATCTCTACTAAAAATATGAAAATTAGCCAGGTATGGTGACAGGTGCCTGTAATCCCAGCTACTCAGGAGGCTGAAACAGGAGAATCACTTGACCCGGGAGGTGGAGGTTGCCATGAGTTGGAATCGAGCCATTGAACTCCATCCTGAGAGGAGACGCTGGCTAAAAAAATATATATATATATATATATAAATACATACACACTAATTATTTTCTTGTATGATAAAATTATTTTACAAAAGAAGTCCATTAGTAACACACACTTGCACGCAAAGCACAAGACACATCTAAGGGCCAGGAGTAGTGGCTCACGCCTATAATCCTAGCACATTGGGAGGCCGAGGCAGTCAGGTCACTTGGGGTCAGGAGTTTGGGACCAGTCTGGTCAACGTAGTGAAACCCCGTCTCTACTAAAAATACAAAAATTAGCCAGGCGTGCTGGTGGGCGCTTGTAATCCCAGCTGCTCGGGAGGGTAAGGCAGGAGAATCACTTGAGCTTGGGAGGTGGAGGTTGCAGTGAGTAGAGATTGCACCACTGCACTCCAGCCTGGGCGACAGAGCAAGACTCTTATCGTGAAGAAAAAAAAAAAGGGGGGGGGGCATTCCCATTGGCCACGGTCCTCATCTTGCCATCTTTGTTGACTTTCCTTACTTACCTGGTCCGTGGAGGCATATACACATATTCACATTTGCCACCCTTGGTGCTCAACCAAAGTATATTGAATACATTTGTTTGACAATTAGTGCTCGTATTTTTTCATTTCACATATGTGTTCTGTTTTCCTAACTAGATTGAAGTAAGCCACCGTGCACGGTGGCTCACGCCTGTAATCCCAGCACTTTGGGAGGCAGAGGCAGGTGAATCACCTGAGGTCAGGAGTTCGAGACCAGCCTGGCCAACATGGTGAAACCCCGTCTCTACTAAAAATACAAAAAAATTAGCCAGGCGTGGTGGTGCACGTCTGTAATCTCAGTTACTCAGGAGGCTGAGGCACAAGAATCACTTGACCACAGGAGGTGGAGATTGCAGTGAGCCAAGATCATGCCACTGAACTCCAGTCTAGGCAATAGACTGGGACTCCATCTCAAAAAAAAAAAAAATTCCTTGGCAGTTTAATATTAGATAAATTTCTTGGCAGTTTAATACTAGAAATGCAACTTGGCAACGTGAGCTAAGCTTTTACCTGAGAGTCATAATGTAAAAGAGAAAACTTTGTATTTTTGAAAAGGAAATTCAGGGCCGGGTGCGGTGGCTCACGCCTGTAATCCCAGCACTTTGGGAGGCTGAGGTGGGCGGGTCACTTGAGGTCAGGAGTTCAAGACCAGCCTGACCAACTTGGCAAAACCCCATCTCTAATAAAACTACAAGAATTCGCCAGGCATGCTGGTGGGAGCCTGTAATCCCAGCTACTCAGGAGGCTGAGGCATGAGAATTGCTTGAACTCAGGAGGTAAAGGTGGCAGTGAGCCGAGATTGTGCCACTGCACTCCAGCCTGGGTGACAGAGCAAGACTCAGTCTCAAAAGTATAAAATAAAATGAAAATAAAATAAATGATTGAATGAATTAAATGGATAAGCAGAGGAATCTCTGAACTAAATCTTGAAGAATGTCAAGTATAGTCAGTTCATGGAACTTACTGTATAACGACATTTGGATGCAAGACAATTTTCGGAAACTGCAAAGAGTTGCTTTTGAAGTAACCAAAAACAAATAGTCTAAGTAGCTGAATGCCCCTCTCCCCACTCTTTTAAGTGAGAAAAAAATTTGCCATCTTGTGCAGTGTTTTGTTTTCCCTATTTCCCCCATATTGAGCAGGACTGGCACTAGGCATAAAATACCAAATTCTTCTCATTAGCTGCACCTACTTGTATTTTTTGAGAACTAATTGCTTAACTCATTGGATCACAAAGTTTTGTGTTTACATTATGACTCTCAGGTAAAAGCTTAGCTCACGTTGCCAAGTTGCATTTCTAGTATTAAACTGCCAAGGAATTCATCTAATATTAAACTGCCAAGGAATATTTTTTTTTTTTTTGAGATGGAGTCCCAGTCTATTGCCTAGACTGGAGTGAAGTGGTGCGATCTCGGCTCACTGCAACCTTTGCCCCCAGGGTTCAAGCAATTCTCATGCCTCAGCCTCCCAAGTAGCTGGGATTACAGGCACCCGCCACCATGCCCGGCTAATTTTTGTATTTTTAGTAGAGATGGGGTTTCGCTATGTTGGCCAGGCTGGTCCAAACTCCTGACCTCAAGTGATCCACCCGCCTCTGTCTCCCAAACTATTGGGATTACAGGTGTGAGCCACTGCACCCGACCATGTTAATTTAAGAATGAACTCTTGATTATTTTTTATTTTGGAAGATCTACAAAAGTAGACGGGAAGCTCCTTAA